AGTAACAGATAGTGTTACGGTAGAAAGTACCGATCGTAAAACCAAAAAAAAAAACAAAAAAAAAAAACAAAAAAAAAAAACAAGACAGAGCCAATTTACAATAATAATTATTCATAAATTCATTAAATCACAATAAGAATAATTTTACAGTGACAATGTTTACACAATTATGAAGCAATACTGACACACTAACAAAAATACTAAAAATTAACTAACTTGTTCAGAATCAAGAATTTCTTAATACAATATGCCTTAACAACTCTAATTTCACCGTCAAATATAATTCCACATTTTTTTTCTAACCGTCACAGACAATTCCAAGTTTTCTAAAAGCTGGAGCGTGAGGAGTTTCGATAGGCGGTTAGGTTTCTGCTGAAGGCACTAACTTCACACCATCCTTAGCGACATTTATATACTATCATAGAACTCTAGAAACTTATAATAGAGTGTAAAAACTTCATGTCATCACATCCTTTCTGGAAAGTTCGATTCTAGTAAGTTTGCTGATCTCCAATCTGCATTCCAGAAAGTTTCGGCATTATAAGTTTCTCGGCCTAAGTCACGAGCGTTCCAAAATACTCAAGAACTCTTCTGTAATTCAGGAGAATCAATCATATTATTATTAATTATGCTAAGGATTCTGAACCAGGTTTATTTAGCTTTTAAATTATGACCAGGTATTAAGTTCAATATTAAAAACAGTAAGATTTACCTCTGAACCTAACAGCATTATTATTTATTATTAACACTACTACGTAACAGATAGTGATTAAGACAGTTAAGTTCAAAGATACAGCGACAATACAGTGATCTTAGGTTAAATAACGCAGGTTTTTCTATGTAATAAACATGGCAGGAAAATTGTAGGAGTGTGTAAGACAAAAGTATTTTTTTATTAAATAACTGTATATTATAAACGTTCTTGATCCAATATCTTGATAATTATGTATGATGCATTTAAAAAAAACTGATTATAAAATCATGAAAGTATATTTTTTCTCGTGTTGTAAGTAAAGCTTTAGGGTGCTTTGTTTGTTTGTGGAATTTCACGCAAAACTACTTGAGGATCGTCTGCGCTAACCGTCCCTAAGTTTGAAGTAATACACTATACAGAAGGCAATTAGTCAACAACATCCACTGCCAACTCTTGAACTACCCCTTACCAACGAATAGTGGGACTGACCGTCACATTATAACTTAACAATGGCTGAAATGGCGAGTGAGTCGAGTGCCTTAGGTACCAGGCCATGCCAGGCCTATAAGGCTTTAGTACAGTGATAATTACTTTTGGGAAAATTAATATGAAGATACTTTAACTGAAAATAGCGAACCTGAGATAGTTGTATACTTGTTATTAAAAACTAATCGTGGAAACATTTTAAGTGGAAAACACTTAAACTGGACAGTTTGGAAAATGTTATACTCTCCTTTTAGGACATGCTTAAATCATTTATATGTTTTAACGTGAATCAAATCAGTAAGAATTTTTAGAGGTTAAAGGTTAGAACATTGAAACTATAGAGTTTGACGCAAAATGTGAAAATTATAAAATATATATAGCAGTATCGATAAAGAGCGATTATTTTGTTTGGCCTTCATTTTAGGTATGGTTCCAAAACCGTAGAGCAAAGTGGAGACGTCAGGAAAAACTGGAGAGTGAGAACGCTCTTAGGTCTCTAAGACACACCAATTCGCCGGACTGCCCTCTCTCTGGGATCGGAATGACTTGTGCCACTTCACCGAGCTGCGTTTCTGGCCTCTCTTCATCTCTTGGACCAAACTCCTCCCCTGTGTTGACAGGAGCGAGTCTGCAGCCGATGTCATTGGATTCTTGGTTAAGTCCGCCTCTAATGGGCCCGCCTTTTTCTCACTCACTACAAGGAATTCTGGCTCATTCTCAGGCCATGTATCCTAACTATCTGACGCCCTCTGTGCCGACGGCTGTGACGGTTCCTTGTTCAGCGGCCATGAGCGGCCTACATACCGGAAACATCTCTATCTCTGCAGGAACTTTGGGAGCTGTTCCCAGTCCTTTAAACTTGTCCGTTAGTTGTGCTGACTTGAAGGTCACTGATTCTAATCCGGTGGATCCACGGAGTTCCAGCATTGTGGCTCTAAGAATAAGAGCAAAAGAACACGTCGATCTAATAAGTAAAAGATTAACATCTGTTTAAAACATTACACATTATCTTGTGAAACGATATTTCAGAGCTTATTTGAAAGTTGTATCATCACAGGACGACAAACTTTAGTGTACATAAGTGAAAAAATGTTTATCTGTGTGTCAATCCGGGTATAAAAGTCTGTCTATTTATGTACCAAGTTGACAATTCATTGTCCATAATAACTATTATGTTATTGTACCATGATATAACCTTGGTTATTGTTTTTTTTTTGTTGTGTGTGTGTGTGTGTATGCAAGTGTGGCGCTTATAATACAAAACTAAACACAAAACATTTACATTGAAAGTTTTCATATATATATATATCTGGGTTATTTCTTGCAAAATATGGAAGAAAATACTTTAGTTACTAGGACTAATTTCAATTTATTTGGTTACTGTTTTTAACAATGCTGCTAACACTAAAATATCACCATCGAAAGAAAAATGTAAAAAGAGAAAAAACAAACAAACTATGATATAAGTAGTAGTGATCAGAGAAGTAAACAAGAATAATAATTGAGAAATGGAAATATTTTACACTGAGGGAATGTGTATTTTTTGTGGTATCTTCATATTAATTTGGTTTTTATAATGTATGTGTGTGACAAAGATTTTGTTACTATAAAAAGTAATCTATTTCTTAAAGATTGGTGATAATATCACTACCTACGATAATATTTCAAAGACAGGATACCCTTGAGAAATTGTAAGGGTATGAAAAAGTGTGACTGAATAAGTTACCCTTGAGAAATTGTAAGGGTATGAAAAAAGTAAGACTGAATTAGTTACCCTTGAGAAATTGTAAGGGTATGAAAAAGTATGACTGAATAAGTTACCCTTGAGAAATTGTAAAAGTATGAAAGCAGTGTGACAGAATAAGTTATCCTTGAGAAATTGTAAAGGTATGAAAAAAGTATGACTGAATAAGTTACCCTTGAGAAATTGCAAAGGTATGAAAAAAGTGTGACTGAATAAGTTATCCTTGAGAAATTGTGAAGGTATGAAAAAAGTGTGACTGAATAAGTTATCCTTGAGAAATTGTAAGGGTATGAAAAAAGTATGACTGAATAAGTTCCCAACTTTTGAGGTTTCTCAGAATACTTCATTCTATATTTGTTCGGTATTCAGTACCTTTGAAGTAATGGTTTTACTTTGTAATAATATTTGGATCATAATGTTATATATTTTGTATATTAATTTTTAGATCTCTTCTGAACTTTTCGTTTCGAAACCTCAACTACAGAAATATTTATGCATTTTGTCACTGTGCATGAAAAACGTGTTTCACGAAGGAAATGTTCATTTAAAACATAAAGTATATATATATATATATACGTATGTATATTATACAAACATTTATATAGGTTTAATTCTGTTTTATTAAACAATGGAGGGTTTTCCAAAAGTATAACTTCATAATCACAAACAAAATGTTTAGGGGTTTGTGAGCTGTCTATGATTTCAAAGTTCACTGGACAAGGCCTAGCCTAGTATCAGTGTTGATACTTGCACAAACATTCCTCACATCGCCCTTGAGAACAACAGCTTGATATTTATTATGGAGTTAGACTTTTGGGACATCACGGAGCCAGAAATTTGGGACATCCTGTGTCTTAACCAATAATATTATCCAAATCACCAGAATTTTCAGGTTGTCGCCCCTAATAAAAATATTGTCTTACGTCTACTGTCATTTGTTTATCTGGACATTTTGTTATAATGAGTACAACATTACACATGGGATTGGATTGTGAAGAGAGTGAGGATGTTTGATGTTGATGTATAAAATGTGTTTTACAGCACTACGTACATTTAAAGAGTTAATCGAAAATTAATAACAGAAGAGATCAGAAACGCCGTTGGTTCTCAGAAGCTAAAATTGAGGGATATAGTTTTCGTTGCAGTTAATCCTTTTTTTTTATCAACTTATGAAGTAATGGGCGCAAATTTTAATCCTTTCCTGAGCCAAAAAGTTCGGTAGTCACCGCTCAGATGGAAGAGAGCGTTACACACACATCCCCAAATCGTTGTTTGGAGTGAACGAGGGTGTGTGAATCAATATATAAATGATCTTATGATAATGTGGAATCGTTGTTTGGTGTGAACGAGGGTGTGTGAATCAATATATAAATGATCTTGTGATAATGTGGAATCGTTGTTTGGTGTGAACGAGGGTGTGTGAATCAATATATAAATGATCTTGTGATAATGTGGAATCGTTGTTTGGTGTGAACGAGGGTGTGTGAATCAATATATAAATGATCTTGTCATAATGTGGGTACATCTGAGAAAAAAACAACAACAACAGGCTAACAAAAACTGTTTCTATGTATTATACTACTCTGTATATTTAACTGTTGTGAAACTGGCTAAATTACTAATTTACTTATTCTGAGCTCTGTGGTACATTAGTGACATAGTTCCTTTAAACTCTATATAGTCAGATTTATTGTTGTGCTTGCTTGAGGTTTCTGTTTATTAAAATAAGTGGTGTGCAGCAACTACTTTCGAATCAGCGTTCAAACAGTTTTGCAAAGGGCGATTCACGTGAATCGAATAATTCTGCTTACGAACATCTCTCGAGAGCTATCAGTTAAGTGTATTGAAAAATATTTCACTCTTGTACGCATAAAAATGTTATTTCTCTCAAAGAAAACTCAACTATTTAAATAAACTATAGCTCGATTAGAATTAAGAGTAAAATAAAACAATAACAAAGAACCGAAACAACTTTTACTAACCCAAATTTCTAGACCAAAAAATTGAGACGTTAATACTATAGGTGAAAAAACAACAACTTATAAACTTATCTTTTCTAAGAGTACTTTTTTTAAAATTACTAATGTTGTATTGTCAAGCGAGTATCAGAATTATGCGTGAATGTTGTATGAAATATATGCTATGAACATTGAAAAGTGTATTTGTGCATGTTCGTTGATTATAATGTAAAATAAACATGAGTTCATTTTACACGGATCCAGAATTTCGGATTGATTCCTAACGGATTTTAGTTATAATGGAAGAGAAAAAAAAATAATGACGTATCGGAATACTATGATGTGGGTTCGAATCCCCTTTGTCTTAAATTTTGTAGAACTCATTAAAACCGTTTTTATAAGGTTTTGGTTTTTATGTTTTGTTATAACTAACTCTCAGTCCAATGCAATCACGTGTTTACAGTACTGTCTGTTTAAAGATGCTGAAAGGGTGCATCTTTTACAACGTGACTGTTTTACACAAGGTTTAATAGAACTTTTTTTATACGTTTTTAACACATCGATGCGTTATCTTTCAAACATTCTTCTAAATAATCTAAGTATTACCGCAAGCTTATTTCAAATCATTGTTTTCGTTTGTTGTTTTTTTTTCCGTAGCAATACCAAATATTAACAACTAACATCAACATTATTATTTAACTTGTGTAGGCATATTGGAGTATAAAAGGTAATTTAAGACTCGTAATAAACGCCCTTATAACACCAAATTAATTTTTTATCTTTAATTGGACACTCAACGTTTCGCTTTACAGCTTCTTCAGGAGCGTTTCACTAAAACACAAACCTTAACCTAAAGTACAAAACTTCAATCAATTTATTATCTAAACCAGTTGAAGTTTTGTACTGTCATAGGGAAATGCTTCCGAAGAAGCTGTAAAGCGAAACGTTGAGTGTCCAATTAAAGAAGTAAAATAGCAAATTAGGTGTTATGAGGTCGTTAATTATTAGAATTGACATCAACGTGTCACTTGTTGTTAAACTGTTGCAGGGCAACGTTGTGTATTTAACAACGAGAGTTCAAGATCTCTTAATAGAAGCGCTCGTTAAAAACAACAAAATCCATGTATATAGAGAGTTATCAAATTGCTTTGAACAAAGTCTTACGCTTGTATTCACAAATATAATTCTCTCGTGTATACCAAAAAATGTGGTATGATATCAATTTTAAAGTCGCAGGGGCATCGCCAAACAATAACAAAAACAACAACCCTAAACATGGGGGAGTCCGAGCTCCAATAAAATAAAAAAAAGGTGATCGAAATTTTATAGAGACAGTTGTTTCTTTCCTAGTTTTTAAAGTTATTTTCTAACTTTTGACACTTTTATTTAAGTTTTTTATTCTTTTTTTTTGTTTGTTTCCTGGATGGAAAACCCCACATGTCCTTAAAGTGCACAGCGCCCTCTATTTCAACAGTGTACTTTAAAGAACATGAAGTGGTAATACCGCCTATAAAATGATAATTTCGATTACATTTCTCATCACTTTTACTGTACTGTATACAATAGTCATACGCAATTAAAGTAAAATTCAACTTTACCAACAGCATAAAAAGATTACTTTGCTGTGACTTATCATAAAAAAAAAATTACTCCGCTGTGACTTATTTGCAGTTTTGATTTTGAATTTTAGTTACGGTAAGAAATTATGTTAGATAGACTTATAAGTGACCATCTACTACATCAATATACCAAGCAAGGCATAATATCTGTTTATACAGATTGTAAGCTAAAAACAACATTATAATACATTTATTTGCGCTTTCAACACTTCATTCGTTTATAGTCGGGCTTTTTAGAGTTTTTGTTTGGACTGTGAATCTGAGGGTTCACGGTCTGTGACCCGTTGTGACTTTGGGTGCGCTATAAAATAGAAAAGGTAAAAGTAGTCCAATAGTTGGCGGTGCATAATCTTGACAAGCTGCCTTCCTCTTGTCAATCAGTTCACAATCAGGAACAGTTATATACATATTACCCCTGTGTAGTTTTTCGCAAAATTCTGAAAGGAGCAAATATATTCGTATATAGCTGTTCAATCCTGTGAAAAATGTTAGCAGTAACGATGTGTACTATATTAGTACCATTTAAATAATCCTGTTATTTTCCTGCTACATCAACATAACACGGTCCTGAGTCACTCTGTATTATTGGCGGTTATGTTGTTTGAGTTGTGAGTAGTTGAAATAAAATTTTAATGCTTTGATTTGCGTTTTTTTTTGTCGACTCTTCACTAGACATTCCGGTTAAAAGTATACGAGCCTTCAGCTTGAATTTGGTTGCTAAGCTTGTTTGTTTGTAGTTAATCACAAAGCTACACCATAGGCTGAGTGTACTGTGCCCACCACAGGTATCGAAATCCGATTTTTAGCGCTAGAAGCTTTCACACTTACCGCTGTGTCACTGGGGGGGGGGGCAGCTGCTAGCTAGGTCAAGATACAACTTTCGCTTCACCAATCAAATACCACGTGTTAACCTTTGAGCTAAATATTGTTTTTGTTCAATATTTTTTTCCCTGATGTCTCAGCTTTTATTCATAATAGTGCCTAATGACTATTGCTAGATTAAAACAATTGTTTTTAACACATGTATTTCACCTTCACGTTTTCCAGCCGTGTTGGGTTTATATATCATAACAATATGTTTTACAGAAAACTTTATTGCATTCTCTTTCTGACGTTGATATTGTGATAAACAATATGTCACACAGAAAACATTTTCTGACGTTGATATTGTAATAAACATAATGTCGTATGGAAAACTTTATTGTCTTCTCTTTCTGAAGTTGATATGGTGATAAACAATATGTCACATGGAAGACTTTATTGTCTTCTCTTCCTGCAGTTGATATTGTAATAAACAATATTTCATACATAAAACTTTATTGTCTTCTCTTTCGGACGTTGATATTGTGATAAACAATATGTCATACAGAAAACGTTATTGTTTTCTCTTTCTGACGTTTATATTGTAATAAACATAATGTCGTATGGAAAACTTTATTGTCTTCTCTTTCTGACATTGATATTATAATAAACAATATGTCATACAGAAATCTTTATTGTCTTCTCTTTCTGACGTTGATATTGTGATACACAATATGTCATACAGAAAACTTTATTGTCTTCTCTTTCTAACGTTGATATTGTAATAAATAATATGTCACACATAAAACTTTATTGTTTCTTCTTTCTGACGTTGATATTGTAATAAACATAACGTCGTATGGAAAAACTTTGTTGTCTTCTCTTTCTGAAGTTGATATTGTGATAAACATTATGTCATACAGAAAACTTTATCGTCTTCTCTTTCTGACGTTGATATTGTGATAAACAATATGTCATACAGAAAACTTTATTGTTTCCTCTTTCTGACGTTGATATTGTAATAAACAATATGTCACACAGAGAACTTTATCCTCTCTCTCTGACGTAAACATCTAAGCCTTAATTTTATGAAAGACCACAGGTAGAATGATCAATTTATTAGTGAAACTCTTTTTCTCTTCACTTTGCCAATTAAGCAATTACAATTTTTATTTTGTCAGCTAAACAGTTGCAATAATCATTTTGTCAGTTAAACAGCTACAACCTCTGTTTTATCATTTAAACGGTTTCAGTCTAAACTTTG